AATGTATAAATTTTGATATGTTGGCCAGTGTAATTATTTTGTAGTCATGTCTCCCTGACCATGTAATTTCAAACATTTTTCTGTAAAAAAATCATTATTAAGATATCTTACTCCATAGAAACTATTATAAATTATCAGAAGTTAATGGAGGCTGCCATGAATAGATTTATATTGCATATAATGGTTTGATTATATTTTTTCTTGTTTCTCTAGTAAACAGATAAGGTCAAGAATTTTTAAAAATCAGACCATCAATAGCATATCTATTCCACACTCAATTTTCTGGCCTACACCAAATTTACCTAATTTGCATATTGAGATATAGGTCAAATGTAGTTATTCAAACCTATTATGTGTAGGGCCATTGGGACAAGCATACAGAAACTTTGAGGGAAAAGTGTACCATGGTCATATGTCATCCCCATTACTATGGGGATATTACAAAAAAAAAAAAAAAACCCAAAACTATTGGTAGATTAAAGACTTACTGAGTAAAACTGTGCATGCATGCCTTAGGAGGTTCATATTAACAACAAAAGCATTTTTTTGTTAATATGAAGGTTAGAGCAAACAATTCCTGCACTGAGTGAAAGCCTTATGATTCCAGGTGTGTCAGACCACTTCCCAACTATGAGTTCTGTGGTCTTAAGTTCCAGGCCATGTATTAGTTTCCTAGGATTTCCATAACGAAGTATCACAAACTGGATGGGTTGAACAACAGAAATTTATTATTTCACAATTCTGAGGGCTAGATGTCTGAAATCAAGGTGTTGGCAGAGTTGTTTTTTCCTGAGGGAGAATCTGTGCCACACGTCTCTCCCAGTTTCTGGTGGTTTACTGGCAAGCTTTGGTGTTTCTGGGCTTGTAGACTCACCACCTCTGTCTCTGCCTTCACGTTCATCTGGTGTTCTTGCTATAGACTAAATGCTTCTCTCCCCAAAATTTCTATGTTGGAACTGAATCCCCAGTGAGATGGTAGTAAGAGGTGGATGGGGCCTTTGAGAGGTGATTAGGTAATGAGGGGAGAATCCTCTTAAATGGGATTGGTGCCTTTATAAAGGAGATCCTGGAAGCTTCTTCCTCCCTTCTGTCTTGTGAGGATACAGTAAGAAGGCAGTCATCTATGAACCAGGAAGCAGGCTATTACCAGAATTCAGCTAAACTGGCACCCTGGCCTTAGACTTCCAGAATTACAAGAAATAAATTTCTATTGTTTATAAAAGCCACTCTATTTATAATAATATTGTTATAGCAGCTTGAATGGATTAAGACAGTTCTACCTATGTGCAAGCATGTGTCTAAATTTTCCCTTTTCATAAAGACACCATTCAGATTAGAGGTCCACCCTACTCTAGCCTGACCTCATATTAACTAATTGTCCTGTTTCTAAATAAAGCCATTGACCCTGTTTTTGAATAGAGCTGCATTGGTAGGTACCGGGAATTAGGACTTCAACCCATAATAGTCCTTATGTTTAATTTTTTTCCCAATACTATGATTAATTAATTTAAATGATTAGGGATAATTAAGGTTATCACTAGGGAATACTGATGTGTGGAGAGAAACAATATTTAAAAATTGGTAGGGAGAATGTAACAATAATTCCCAGTTCTCATTACTAATTGCCTCCAACGATCTTTGCAAATACTACTATGGGGTCTTTGCTCATTTGAAGCAGCCGAAGTAGGTGATTGGTCCAAATAAAGTCTGTCACTTTCTTGTGAGTCTAATAGAGGAATACATATCACATAGTTCTTTAATATCACCTGGCACTGAAAATGAGGAGAGAGAGAAAGATAAGCTAATTGCTGCAGTTGAAATATACTGATTGGACTATTTCTTAGGAGATCTTGGAGGATGAAATGCAGAACTTTTATAAGTTGAGGAAAAATGATTGCTGATACTGACTTGAAAATCGCATTTAGTTTCATGGTTTGCTGCGTGACAATAAACACAAACTGTAAAATGGGTTTCATGCCCAGTATCTAATTTGTCAGGAAAGCAAATATGATATTGTTTGTATCTTTATTTACATGCATGCCATATCTCAGTGTTTCTCTTTTGTTTTCCTCAGTGGAAAAGCTCCCTAAAACAGATATTTTTCTCATAACATTTTATAGGTATTAACTTAAATACCACTGACATCTGGACATATTGATATGTCACAAAAAAATGGCTATCAAGACATTTAGTGTTTATATACCTGATGTTAAAATATTTTTAATGCTGATTTGATTTGATTAGTGACCCCAGTCTTAATACTTCTTGTAACCATAAAAAGCAGACTTTAAAAAATTGTAATACCTCATGAAACGCTGGTTTTAATTTGCTTCTTGAAAGACCTCACTAAGAATATTTGCATTGTCAGCAGCTTAAATTGACCACGGAGATAATAACTAAATAATTTAGAAAACTGTAAAATGATTTAGTCATTTAAGATGTGTATAAGGTAATTAAAAGCAAACTTTAGGAGGGCTAAGGCCACACTGCAATTGGTTATTCTATATCTAGGGTCACTGCCTAAGTTGTATGAAGGCATATGTTCAATTTACAGTTGTAATGAGGAACATGGGGTGTTTTGATTCTTCATTTGTTGTGCTCATCTCTAGAGGATGCAATTGCCTGAATTAAACAATGAACATGGGCTCTTTTGTGGCGGATAATAAAAATGTGTAAGATAATACATGCCACATGCATGTATGGTTGGCATATGGCTTTTCTCTGTGTATCAAATTGTTGCCTTTGGTTGCTATCATGGAACAGGCTCATGGAAAGCTGTAAGATGATTTAGGCATTTTGGATGTGTATAAGATGTGTATTATTATTAGCCACATAGGAACAAGATCAATTCCTTTGACATCATTAGCTAGATCATGATTATTCCTTTTTAACTAATACATGGTATTTATGAAGGTGTTTTTCATAGATTATTTACTTGTAAGTGCATTTTGCGTTTTATTTTTTACTCGTCTGCAAAAGGATAGATAAACATTAGGTGATAAATTTTTCTTTTGTCACATGTTGAATGTAGTAAAAGAAATGAAGCAGGTTTTGTCTTTTTCCTTTTTTTATTTTACAAATGAATGACATCAGGGTTTCAGATTTTTTCTATATGTTGATATACTTGAAAATACTAGCACATACTCTTGGGGTAAACTGAAAGAAACATTTATAACATCATGTTGTTATACAGGCTGAAGTAGAAGGACCAGATTTTTATTTAGTGAAAACTTGCAGTCATCCCAAATGAATGTTTGCAAAACCCCAGTGAGCCTAGTTATATCCAGGGCCCCACTCTTGGCTTAAAACAAAGCAAAGCAAATATAATCTTTCAATGGTAAAGAACATATGGAAGAGAAAGATCTTGAAACCTCTCTGATTTGGACAAATAGGTGAAGAATAATTGGAATTGGTGGGGAATAATTGGAATTGGTGGGAAATAGAAAATGTACTTATGTTACTAGTCTCATTTAATAAGATGTAGCAAACAACCATTTGGTTTTTGCACCTGCGCAGCACTGCTGTCTCCTTGGTGTACTATTCTTCACTAGTTGTAGTTGTGTGGGCTGCCAAAATCTGCACCTTGCCTCTCTGTGGTCATGTCACTGAAGATTGGCCAATCACAATGCCCAAATCTCTTATACTGATCGGTCTAGAGGTTATGTTATTCAAACCTGACCAATAAGAATTACAACTAGGATGTTTACCTTTTGAATCTTGTAGTAAAGGAATTTGGGGTTTTCAGTTTGGAGTAGGAAAGAAGTAGACTAGAAGCAATCAGTAGCCAACTAAATAAATCCAGTAAAGTGTAAGTAAGAGAAATTGAAGTCTGAGAGGAAGCAGATCTTTATTGCTTCATTTCTAAGTACTCATAGAACTCAGAGTTCCTTTTTCTCCTGAGCATCCTTTAAAGATACTTCTTTTCCTTTTATATATATTTTTTGTTTAAGTTGTAAAAGTCCTGCTTCATGAAATAAATAAGAATTCTTTTCTTTTTTTTTCTTTTTTTTGAGATGAAATTTCGCTCTTGTTACCCAGGCTGGAGTGTAATGGCGTGATCTCGGCTCACTGCAACGCCTCCTGGGTTCAGGCAATTCTCCTGCCTTAGCCTCCCAAGTAGCTGGGATTACAGGCACGTGCCACCATGCCCAGCTAATTTTTTTGTATTTTTAGTAGAGACGGGATTTTACCATGTTGACCAGGATGGTCTCGATCTATTGACCTCGTGATCCACCCGCCTCGGTCTCCCAGAGTGCTGGGATTACAGGCTTGAGCCACTGCTCCCGGCCTAAATAAGAACTCTTAATCAATATGCTATCTGTTTGCATGTTTATGTCCTACTTCTAATGTACTAGACATCTTCTCTTAAATATTTTGAGCTTTCTATGTATACGTACACACACACACACACACACACACACACACACACACATATATCTTTATTTAGACAAAGTTTGGGCCAGCTAAACCCTTCACTAATATGAAAAAGTTAAATTTAACTTTGCTGAATAATTATAAGCCTTGAATTAGCAACATTGAAATTATTAGAACTGTGCTATATTAATGCTGATCTATGTAAATTGGGTCCTGGAAACAACTTGCTTATTATGTATTTTTTCTCTATAATTTTTAAATCAAATTCATTGGACAATCATCCCCTTGAAATCAGATTCTGCAACCACCTGGCTTTCCTCCAGAAGTTTTCCATTGTTTCACGAGCCATCCTTGTTTCCAATTCATTTTTCTTTATCCACTGTGTAAATTAGGTGGACCTGAATACTCAGAAAAGTTTGAAAGCATTTGGTTGTTATTAGAGTAAGGATAGCTAACTCACACATGTGAAACATTAAAGAAACCTTACAAATGTTTGAGTAATTTTTTTTCTGTTGTTGTTTGGGGCTGTGGGGCATTTAACCACATCCTGCCATGCACACAACAGTTGAGCTTCTCTCTTTATTACCAGGTAGAGTTTCTGACTAATAAAACAAACAAGGACAATATTTAAATTTTCTTTTCGAAGCATTTTTATTGTTTTTATTTAAATGTAACATACTATACACTGTGCAGCCTTTTGGGAGGTAGGAGGAGGGAGTGATTCTATATCTTTATGAGGAGTATTCTCAGAACCAAAACTCAAATGGACACATATTTGTGGCTAATATACCTTAACTGTGTGGGCTAGGGGCCATACTCCTGCAGCGGCAGAGCTCTCAAAATCTCCCATTTTTTTTTAAACCTACAACATTCAGGGCTGAAACTTGTAGTTGCAATAGGAACCAGAATTCTATTTCAATATCAAGCAAATATGACACTTTTAAATGCCAAATAATGTCATTACTCCTTACCAATCTTTCTTTCTTATCTCTTTCTCCTTTCCTTTCCTTCCTCCTTCCTTCTTTCCTTCCTTCCTTCCTTCCTTCCTTCCTTCCTTCCTTCCTTCCTTCCTTCCTTCCGTCTTTTCTCTCTTTCTTATCTTTCCTGTCTTTTCTCTCTTTCCTGTCTTTCTGGCTCGTTTTCACCCAGGCTGGAGTGCACTGGCAAGATTAAAGCTCACTGCAGCCTCGAGCTCCTGGGCTCAAGAGATCCTTCTGCTTCAGCCTCCTGAGTAGTTGGGACCACAGGTACATGCCACCACACATGACTACATTTGTTTTGTTTTATTTTAACAGAAGGATGTCTCACTAGGTTTCTCAGGCCAGTCTAGAACTCCTGGTCAAACCATCTTCCCACCTCAGCCTCCCAAACAGCTGGGATTACAGGTGTGAGCCACCGTTCCAGGCCAGTTTCTTGTCTTTCTCTAAGTGGGGGTGGGGGGGTTGGTGTGGGAGAGACAGGGAAATGTTATCTATTTTTGGCATCTGCAACCTTTAATACATTTTGCAAGAGCCGTTTCAGTGTCTTGAGTACTATAATGATGACTGTTTACACATAGTCTCTTTGGTAATCTAAATGGCTATGTAAAATAAGAATTCAGTCTGTGCCCTATTTGCTGTCACTGTGGTTGTCCAAAGTGTATTTATCTCACCAAACATTTAATTTTGGTTGTGGGTGGTCTATGTTCATGTGTCAGGTGCAATTATTGTTTTAAAACAAAGGAATAAAAGATACCTAGTTTTGATAGGAATGCATTACATTATAGCTCACAGACTCAACTACCAATTAAATATTAACATCCAGATTCCAACCACAAAATTAAACATTTTTAGAATCTCATTTGTCAAAAAGCAAGTTGGAAGCAAAGTATGATGAAATGCAATTTAAGCTATAAGCCAAAACACAGTGCCTCAAATATGTTTCTTCTGAAATACAATTTTTTTTGAAGAATAGGAGAAATAACGAACTTTTATGGGTTTACTTTATGCAAAAAATTTCTTAATAAAGCAATTTTTAAAATAACAGATTACCTGGAATGACTGGTTAAGCATTGACACAAATAAGTTTGTAAGAAAATCACAGAACATCAGCCTTTCCAGAGGTTAAACTTTAGTAAAAAGACACATTTAGTGCGTCTTTTTTTGGTACCAAAATACTGTGTCCTAACAATAAAAATAAACACTTTTCAAAACAAGAAAAATGAAGATAAAACTGCAGCATCAATATACTCTTATAGTTATTGCTTAAAAGTATTTAGAACAAATAATATTTTTCTACGTTTTTAAAATCACTACAGACACTGCAAATAAGGCTTATGTGTTTATTTAGTGGAATACAATGTGATGATGATTGGTAAACTCTTATGTACTGTTTTCTATACCTGCTCTAACAAAATGAATTTTGATATGATTACATTATAGAACCTTGTAAAGCTCTTTAAATTCATAGAAAACAAGTTTTATTTGGTTTTGTAAAGACTAGATCATACAGCTTGAACAGGTTTTTGTATATGGTTACACATATACCAGTATATATTTAATTTGCTCAGTTTAAGCCCCTGGGAGATTTGCACTTCATACCAAATTCTTTGATAGTTTCTTTGGGAAAGATGCATCATGTGGGACTTACAGAGATTTTTTACAAATGGAACAGCCTCTTCACCACCATGACATACAGCAAAAAATCATGAGTAAATAATGAGGTTAGGCTGCTTAAATGTATTTAGTAAATTTTCCTTTTTTTCGTATATTCTTGGAGACAAATTGATGTATTGAAAGGGAAGAATTTGGCCTTCTGGTCTATTTCTTGAGACAGGAAGCCTCCAGAGTAATATATCCTTTCAAATGATAGCAGACATCTGTCACTCAAACCATGGCACAGCATTGCCATATTTATTGTTGATGGTTATTACTGCAAAAGTGCAAATTAAGTCAACTGATAGCACGCAGGCACTCATACTGCTTCCCTAATCTCAACTCCTATTTTTGAAGTGTTGGCCAAGTTTTAAAAACACTTTGTCATGAACATGCATATGGTGTGCTGAAGAAAAGGAAAAGATAAATCAGAAGGCAGCTGTTGAGGATACTCTTTAAAACCCCAAAAGATATTTAACATCCTATTAAATAAATAACTTAGAAATAGAAAGGGATGAAGGCAGAATGCACAAGCATACCATACTATTTGTATTGTTAGAACAGTTTCACACTAACATGTTTATATTTTTAAATTCTATTTAATTCTTCCATGAGACCACATCCAAAACTCCTTTGGTTGTGCATGTGACTTGAGCCAAGTGCTTTCCAGTAAATGCTTGCATGTATTACTGCTCATTGATTCATTAAGCTTGAATGATCAATGAAGTCTTTGATATGAGTTCTTATTCCATAAATAACTTTCCCGAAGATCATTCATTCAACAGATTGTTCTATGTCCTTTAAGTTCTATCTCAGAGGTTTAAAAACAAAAACTTAACTACAACAACAACAACAACAACAACAACAACAAAAACCCGGCCACAGTGTTTTTCACTTGGGAATAACTTCTATCCCATTCGACCTGCCTATATCTTGATTATAAGACATGACACAGAACTAATTAAAAGAACATCATATGTCAGCAGTGAGTACAAAAATCTTCAAAGGCTGGCTTTCTTTTAAGCAAGCAGACATCTGCAATGTGTCTTTGCTTTTCGAGCTACTGTCTTCATGAAGAATATCCACTATTCCCAGCAAAAGAGCCATTGGTTCTACTGCATCCACAAACATTGCCTTCTTCTATGAGTGTACCACCATTGGAAGAAAGTGAGCAGAGGTGTTTTTCCTTCGTGTTTTCTGTCCTCTCCTTGGAGCTCCTTTTCCATTCAATGCTACATACATTTGCCTCCCATTATGCTGCCAGTTAAAGGATGCATAGGTATTGTATCCATTTTCCTCTATCCTCTCCTTCAGCTTACAGTCATTGTTAAATTCTTTCTGCAAAGAAAAAACACTCTTTTATTCCTATGGTGATTGTATTTGATTTCATTTGATACAAACCATCTGAAGAACTCCAGTCCAAGGGTTCTGTTTGTAGTTGCCATTTGTACCTAAGTTGTGCACTTAATACATAATGTCAACAGTAGAAGAGTAAATGTCAGAACCACAAAACACATTCTGTTTGAAAGCACATGAAACATTTTAATTGATCATCAGAGCCACTTTTTGAAAGCCATTTTAAAAGCTGATGTGCTTTGAATATGACATGGTTTAAGAGCCTAGAATGATTGTTAAGAAGTAGACATTCCACTAACAATATTTGTGATGAGTCAGTAATAAAGAATAGTGTTATAGTGCTTCTTTTATAGTAATAACCAGTGGCCCCATGTGAAGAAAATAGAACTAAAGGAAAAATGTAGGCTTATCACATTTGCAAACTTTACCTACAAATCTACAAGAAATACACACACAGATTCATAAGAAAGCAGACCTTATAGTAAAACCACAATAGTTCTACATAACCAAAATAGAGGGGATATCTTTCTTTCTTCCAAATATCAAATTTCTTAATTTCAGTAAATTATTTGTAATGTTCTATAGCTTGGAATTTTGACAGATTTTGCTCTGAACTCCAGGAATGATTGAAAACTACGACATGGAATTCCTCGTTTTGTGAACTACTATGTTAAAAAATTATGAGCGTGGTGAATACATAGCAATGCCTATATTGTATAAGCCTAAGGACTTTGATCCTGGGAAGTTTCATTCTATAGCCATAGAGCTTTGGTTTTGTTCAGGTGGCCAGTTGGATTTAAGGAGATATTCCAGGATAAGGCTTCACTAACACTTACTCCACAAATCCAGGATGTTACTCTAGTGTTAATAACAAAGAGGAGGTACCTCAATGATCTCAAGACTCTGGCTTTAGAAGTAACCCTCTTTTCTTATTCTCAAAGTAATTAAGAAGCTAAGGAATTGGAGTACTTGACCTCTGGTTCTACCTTCTTCATCCAAAGCAAGGGCTCTGTGGAGATAGTTCAGTTGAGGCCTCCACTTGGCAGTTTTTCTCACCTTGAGACTTTTTGAAATTTCTACAAGATTCCAAATTCCTGAAAATGCATATGTTTATATACCCAGGTGTCTGTAGGATTGATCATAATTTTGAACATTATCAGAACCATAAGCAGATATATTTTATGTTAATGTTACCAGCTTAAGTTACCTATCCTGCAATGTATTAGTCTTAAATGCTTCTCTTCTGTAAAGTAATATTTAAATATAACATCCAAATGATGATTTAACTGGCTCAAAATAAGAAGGAAAGGTAAATTATTTAAGGTAAACATTTTGATAAAACAAAAATAATTCTGCATTTGAAAGGAATATAAATCCTTAGTATGGATTTACTTTTATTCTGTTTACTTATCTCAGTTTGTCTAAAACTATAGTTTTCAAAGCAGAGATTATTTTTAAAATATGCATAATTATATTCATTTCAATAAATGGGGTAGAGTTTAGAGGCTAATGAAGGACTGAGATTATTTGAAGTGATTTCATATTTGAGATGAAACTATGTATAGAAAAGTGGGAGTAGAGGCTTAATTAATTTTTGTCCCCAAAATTATAGAGTAATATTTCTTAAAGTAAAGTGCACACATATCGGCCTTTTTATTTCAGGTATTTTTAGCATCTGGGACACGGTTCAAAGGTACCAAAATCTCTAGAGGAGGGGCCTAGAAATATGGTATTTATAGGATCTAAGCAAATCATAAACAGTAATGTATAAAAAGAAAATTCAAGCCTAGAGCAAGGTCTCCAAAGCAGGGTTTGGGGAGTTTTTTAAAAGAAGTTTGGATTTTTTCCAGCTACCTGAAAAATTTCTTTGGTCCTTAAATCATGCTCTATGAAGGTGTATTCCATTTAATTCAGTTTTATAATTCATTTACAGAATCCTATCAGTCAGGAGAAAACTCAGAATACCATAGATACATTGCTCAGAGAATGAATAATGAAAATATAAGAAAGGTATACAGTCTCCAAAAAGGAATAGAGGAAAATAATTCAAAATAATAGATATAAAAGTGGTTTAATCAGTCAATCTGCATGTTTGCCCAAATCAGTTTTTAGGAGGGCTTATGGAATAGATGGATACTATATGAAAAAAAATGAATGTAGGAATGTAAGAGTTGTCACCTAATATGCAGAATTATATTAGATATGTACTCATAAATTTCGATGTTAGTCCTATTGCGCTCTGAGCAGAACATTGAACTTTAGTAAATTTTTTGTTTAATTTGAACAAGTCATAATTTTTCATTATTCCTAGTAGAAATGTAAAGTCACACAAAAAAAGAAAGTTGTGGTTAGAGAATGAGTTTCTTTCTGAGACAGGCCGGAAGTAGAAGCATGTTCTGTAATTGCCTGAGCTACTAGGAGTGGTTAGGTTTATGCAGTGTATAACTGTGCATAAATGCACTTATAACATGATTGTAAATGCTGAACAAATAGTGGGAGACAAGACTGACCTCACCCTCTCCAAGGTCACAATCTATTGGGAAAAGACAGTGAACAACAAACACATTAATGAGAGAAATCTTACATAAGTGCCACT